GTCAGCAGGGAGCTGCTGTCCCTCCATCTGGGTTAGGGTTAGGGTTATGGTTTAGTCCCAGCTGCTGTCCCTCCATCTGGGTTAGGGTTTAGTCCCTCCATCTGGGTTAGGGTTAGGGTTTAGTCCCTCCATCTGGGTTAGGGTTAGGGTTTAGTCCCTCCATCTGGCTCCACAGAGACTCTGAGTCTGGTCTCTGCTTCATCCTGTGTTAAACACTTTAAAAAGCCAGAATGTTCTCAGTAACACCGTAGAAAAGAGTGTGGAGTTGATAAATGCATGTTTTCCAGGTGTTCTCCTGGTTCTGGTGGTGGGCTGCTCTCCTAAAGCGAGGTGTGGATCTCCTCCATCCCTGCAGAATAAAACATTTCCCCACGTGTGTGTGTGTGTTCTTACAGGTTTGTGTGTTTTAGTTGTGAGTTGTAGGAATCTGTCCTGGTCTGTGTCAGATTCACATTAATCCTTTTTTTGTTATTGATCTAGGTTATTAGTTGGAAGTAACTGCTGTTAGAATATTGTGTCCATTAGTCTGTTATTAATTAAACTTTGACCAAATCTTAAAAGCTATTATATTTAATATTTATACTTTTGTGGAGATAATGGAAGTCCGTTTTGTTAGTGATATTTCTCACCAACTGTCCATCAGAGGGTGAGAAGGTTATAATGACTGGATTTCTCCCTGGAGATCAATAAATAAAGTATAAAGTATAATAAAGTATATTCAATTATATCTGACTCTGACACAGGCCTAACATCCAGGTAAGTTTATTAAACTTTCTGAGAATGTTCTAGAATAGAAAAAGTTGGATTAGAAGAGTGTTTAACAGCTTTTTGAATTCCTCAGTGTGGACATATTTAGTAAAATCTTAATTCTAATTTAACCCTAACCCTGTGAGCCAAAGGTAGATTTCTCTACACTCATTTATCATTTTTAATCTTATGTAATCTAGACTAGTTTCTTGGGGACTTTTACATGACGCGTTCTACTTTAGGTCACAACTCTTTTAAATTTTAAGGTGGTCATGAATGCTTAGCCTGTGTGTCATATATCTGGAATCTTTCATTTTGGGTTAAAAGTTTACCGGAAGTAAATGTTTAGTGGGGAGATCTTGCATCATACAGTTGGACTTCATGGCTACAGAACCCTCCATCAGCCCCGGAGAGGAAGAAGCCTGCTGCTTCCTGCCCCTGCTGTGGTGTCTGCTGCCCCCCATGGATGGTTCCACACACATGTCTGACAGGGAACACGAGTTCCTTTGCAGGTTCCTGATACTGTGATGGGGCTCCACACATGATGGAAAGCTGTGTTTACAACAGATCGTGAAGAGGGCCTTGTGATAAGCTGTGGGGGGGAGG